ATTCCCCCCCCCCCCCCCCACACACACACCTAAATCCGCCACTGCTGGGATAGAAAGTTGTCCTAGGATGAGAGGTTGGAATCTCTCAAATTGTTTTGTCTTGAAAAAGAAGAGATAGAGGTGTTTACGATTCTAAAGGGAATTACTAGTGTTGATATATCATCTTTTTTATATACTTAACTGTGAGAATAGTAGGACTAGGGGACACAAATATACATTTTGGAAGGGTAGGAGTAGGAGTCATCTTCAGCTAAGACAGTTTTATTTTCTAACAGGATGGTTGGTCTTCGGAATGGGTTGCCTTCAGATGTTGTGGAGGAAGGAAATTTAAGTGAGTTTAAGAAAAAGCTTGATAAGTATATGAATGACAAGAGCTGGTCTTAAGATGTTTTTTTTTTATTTATCTATGAATAGTGATACACACACACACATGGATATATACTTAGAGATGTGTATTTAATTTATGTTGTTGACACATTTCAAAACGCTTATTGTATTGAAGAAACGGGTCAAAGAATCGCTAACTGTGTTTTCGACATACTTTTTGTTTCAACATGAAGATCCGGGCATTCCGGAAGTTGTACATCTACTGGTGGGGAAGTAGGAAGGGGCGTTTCCTGAACTGCCTCCTATAACCCTCAATTCGAAGATTTTATCACACTAGACGTCTTACTTTTATAATCAATAATAAGTTAATAACACATATTTCTTCGCAGACGTAACTACGTGGTTGTAAGGGATTAAACACCGGATTAGATTCAAAAGAAAGAGTTGCTCAAAACGTTGGTAACTAAAGAAAAAACAACTTTGTTTAGTGGGTGTGCGTTGATGGATCTTGGAATTTAAAGACAGCGGCAGTTAGATTAATTGTTCTGACTTGAGTTCACTACGTATGACGAACTATGAAACACTTGTGTTTAACACTTAAGAAACATAAGTTGTAGAAAGTTTTTACTCCCTGTTAACTTTTCACTAACTTCACTCTGGAATCGAACGTCATGAAAGGTGTTTGTACGATTTTCATTTTTATGGTTTTGACATATCCTGTTTATATCAGGGTAAGTTCATTTGAAGTTATCTTCCATTTTTGTGTTATCTGTTTATTAATTTTATATTTTTCCGTCTTGTGAATGCATTACTGGTCTACAGTTTAGGTCAAAAGCGTTTACTCGTAATTTTTATGCATAAACAACACATATTTACCGACGTAAATTTAGATTTGTGTTTTTGAATGTAAAGCAAAAAGTATGCTTAAATTAATTATATCATAGATATTTTTATTAAACAAAAAATTATTTTTACTTCTACGCTACGCTACTATTTTACTACGTGATCTTTATTAAGCCTAACACTATTTTACTTATACAATACGCTGTTATTTTACTATATGATCTTTATTAAGCCTAATACTATTTTACTTATACGATAAGCTGCTATTTTACCATATGATCTTTATTAAGCCTGACACTATTTTACTTATACGATACGCTGCTATTTTACTATATGATCTTTATTAAGCCTGACACTATTTTACTTATACGATATGCTGCTATTTTACTATATGATCTTTATTAAGCCTGACACTATTTTACTTATACGATATGCTGCTATTTTACTATATGATCTTTATTAAGCCTAACACTATTTTACTTATACGATAGGCTGATAACTACTAACCAGAAGGAAAGCAGCCATTCAGTAGCACCCGAGATCCCACCATTCACACTAAGAGATTAACTGTCACTCTTATAACGCACCCACAGTTTTAAGTGGGGGTGGGATATTTTGTAGTATGACAAAGATTCGAATCCCGTTCGCAAGCTCCGAAATATAAAAGTTAGGAAATCATCTGTTGGGGAACTTCTCTAATCTTCATTAAGTTTAGTAATTACCTGCAAGTTAAGAAATAGTTTGTACTATAACGGCGTTATAAGTTAAAGTAAAAAAAAAAAACTCAATGATCTTATTAAGCCTAATAATAAACTTACGAAAGCATTTGTCTTCAAAATTCAAAACCTAATGTTTAAGTTAAAAAAAAAAGAATTTGTGAAAATAGCTCACGTTAGTCAGATATTTAGAAACGTTTGTCAAGAAAGCTCACTAATCTTCTTTAAGCCTAGGGGCCTGGCATGGCCAGGTGGTTAGGGCGCGGGTTTGAATCCCCATCACACCAAACACGCTCGCCCTTTTAGCCGTGAGGGCGTTATAATGTGACGGTCAATCCTACTATTCGTTAGTAAAAGAGTAGCCCAAGAGTTGGCGGTGGGTGGTGATGACTACCTGCCTTCCCTCTAGTCTTACACTGCTAAATTAGGGACGGCTAGCGCAGATAGCCCTCGTGTAGCTTTGCGCGAAATCCATAAGAAGCAAACAAACAAATCTTTAAGCCTAATACTTAAGATATTATTTACAGGAAACCTAACTACTCTTCATTAAGCCTAACTCTAAAAGGCGCACTACCAACGGTGGTTTTAAACATTCATACAAGTTACGAGAACTAGTTACGCCGCCCTGGTGTATCATCATTTGTGCGAACCATATGTGTTCCATTTATAACTACATGAAAGTCAATCCGGGTCCTTTTTTGTCACTTTACAGTTAGATTAAAATCAAGTTTAATTGTTTTTGGATAGTCAGGAGTACTAACATGCAATAAATATCCTTACACACGGGAATGTGTGGGAGGTCTCACCCCTCCTCACGTAGGTGATGTTGCCATCTTAATTATGGTTTCATTTTTTTCCCCTTGGGAAAAATCCAAACCCGCGTGCATATTGTGGGTAACATATCGTTTATAATTTTTTTGTGAGTGAGAATACAGATGTAAATTAAAGTCGGGTAACTATTTTGTGCTTTGTTGTTGTAGTACGAGCAGTATTAACAGTAGAATAATAACAAGTTTGTTACATCTATATACAGGCAAACTCGATGCACATGCATCAAAGACGAGGAGTTTCATGCCCTAAAGGATGTCAGTGCCAACCGGCTTACCTGTCTCACACCTTGATGGCTAGATGGTTCGACAGAGAACAAAATTTAAGAGCCACTCTTTGTGTGCTTCAACAAGAAACCCATATCCAAAAGTTATTTGATGAAATTCCATTAGCAACCGAGATGCTTACGATACTTCAGGCACCAGATGCACCCAATTCTACTATTACCGAATCCATGTTGTCTCGCTTACCAAAGCTGCAAGGCATTGATTTCCAAGGATCAGGACAAAACCCTTACAAACTGAACCTAGGACCTTGTGCTTTTCGACAACTTCATAGTCTTCAATACATTTCTTTGCAGAAGGTCAATTTTATGGGCAATAAAGTGTTTGATGGGTTAAAGACGGTAGAAGTGTTACAAATATCAGAGTGTGATATTGAGGTTCTCTCTTGGAGACTTCTTGCCGAACTTTCGTCTTTACAGGAAATAGCTCTCGTGCGAAACGGAATTAGCTTTTTAGAAGATTTTGCATTTTATGGCACTCCAGACTTAAAGCGATTATCCTTGTCGCACAACAACATTATGACGTTACAAGCTGAAGCACTAGTCGGATTACTGAAGTTGGAAGTACTCGACCTCAGTAACAACAATCTCGACAGAATCTCTGGGGTTTCTTTCCCACCCCTCCCACATTTGCAATGGCTAGAACTAAAACATAATCCGATTGAAGTCATCTTTCCAAACTGTTTCCAGTTTCTAAATGGTACTTATCGTCTGAGCCTTGGTCACGCCGAAAAGTCCATTCATCTGATAAAGTTCAGTTTTCGAGGTCTAGAAAATTTAATATATCTTCATATTCCGAATGTTAACAACGACATTCTATTAGAACACATGTTTTATGGGCTTAATTCTTTGACACACTTGACCCTAGAGGGCAGGATTACCGCTATTGGCGACCGTGCTTTCGTTGGCGCACACCGGAGGCTGGAAAGACTTAGCCTTCACAAGTGCAAGTTGATAAGGATTGCCAGGGATGCATTCCATGGACTTCACCTATTAATATCTTTGGATTTATCTTCCAACAAACTACGGGGAATTTCTAGACATTCCTTTGAAAATCTGGAACGACTACGTGAACTGATTCTAAATGACAACATGTTACACATTCTTCCGAATGAAGTGTTCCTTCTGCCACAACTAAGAAGTCTAAGACTTGACTCAAATTCGTGGAACTGCACTTGTGGAATGGCCAGTTGGAGCGAGGACGTAACAACTCGTGTACGAAGAGTACTGTCCAATCCATGTCCACTGGGGAACCAAAAAGCAAACTGTATGGGATTCGAGTCCGCTTATGTCGTAGATCCCAGAGTAACACCAAGGTGTGATTACCCACCACAGATTCGAGGAAGAACTGTGTACGAGGCTATAAGACACCATCTTGACTGCTACAAAAGAAACGAATGAATGTGTTATACTCGAAGTAATGCATAATAAGAACCACGTGTGTTATATTTTGTCGGTGTAGCTTCAAAAAATCACCTTTTTCGTACAAATAAAAATAATTAGAAGGGATCACTTTGTAAGGTTACCATAAATATGTATGTGAAAACAAAACAAAAAGGTTTGAATTAGTATCACCATATTGTTTGACAGTTAATGTTATTTTGTTGTAAGAACTGCGAATAATTGTCAGTTACGCGTTGTATGATTAATGGAATAGTTAGCTCAAAAACACACACACATATATATACATGTAAATAACGAAAGAGGGAACCGAATGCTTGAAACTTATTGAATGACCATCGAAATCAGATTTGTTTAACAGAAAAGTATATATATCAGAAAAAGTACAAATGTTTTGTTTAAATTTTCTATTACTGTGTATAATATATATACATGAAGGATTATAATTGATTCTAATAAAAAGAAATATACCATTAAAAGAATATTTTGTTTTGCCTTGAGTTTGATGAGTTACCAACATTTCTTTTAAGACTGTGGAGTTATAATCTTAATGAAAACGCCCTGATTTTTAGCCGCTGCACAGCGGCACATAGAATGGCTCTGAGTTGTGTTTTATTTAAATACAAACTTTTATCTCATAAATCCGTTATCTCTTGACCGATATGAGTTCTAATTACAGTTTTTGACTCAGGAGGTCAAATATTTTCGATTGATATATTTGACCGCGCCCAAGGTCTCATAGTTTAATTTACTCTAATCCTGCCTAAAATAAATTCAATTTAATGGTAGGCTAGTAGAGATCCTGATGAGCAATAAAATTGAATCGGGTATACACGAACCCCACGCTTGATATTGCTGGCGCACAAAAATATAGCTAAGTAAAAAGGTCTCATAGATTAATTTACTCTAATCGTGCCTAAAATAATTTCAAATGCTGCGGCTGTCAAGATTCCCTCTTGTTCATATTTAATGTAAAATTTTGGTTAAATATATAAAGAAATATAGCTAGAGGACGCTTTTTATTACCCGTTTTTGATTGGGTTGGGCTCATTCCGTAACGCTTTATTGAAAAGCATTGATAATTATTCTGAGAAAGGTGATTTCTAGCAATGTGTTTTGAAGGTAAAATATTCTCAAGTTCGAACGTGACTTCGTTACAGGACCGATCTTTTGTATGTAAGATTTCTTGAGTCTCTATTTGACTTTGTTATAGAAACATTTAAAGTTTTTTTAAATTACCGATCGTCTAGAAGACGAAATATCTTGAATCAATATTTGATGTTTTGTGTAAGTACTTGAGTATGTTAATAGACAGTTAAAAACAGTCGACTTGCGTAACATGGGTAGTTAAAAAAAATTCAAGTTGTGCTACATGAAAGGTTTAAAATAATAGAGTTTCACCATTTTCCGATTATTAAAACGAAATTTTACAGAAACATTGTGATTTCCACACTAGAAACCTTTATAAGAGTGCTTTAGGTGTATTACACACACACAATTAGAAAAAAATTCTAGTTAAGCCTAAAAACAGTTATATAGATACATTGTTGTACCACACGGAAGATTACTAAAGACATACTCATTGTGTCTCAAGATTTATATATATATATATACCTGTTGTGTCTCAAGACGTACAGAAACACACCCTTTGTGTCTCAAAATTTACATAAAAATATCCGTTGTGCCCCAGGAAAGTTTACAGAAATATTCTGTTTGAGACACAAGGAAAGTCTACAAAAACATCCAGCGCTTCACCCTGCAGCCAACAAACGCGTATCCTAACTTCATTCCTACATTATAAAAACCATATTGTTACGCCTCTGTGTTCGTTTGTTAATTTTCCGTAAAAATTATTTCCGAATTCTTTAACGATACAAGTCCTTTCTTAAATAAAACTAGTTTATTCTTTCTTAATACAACTTTGCAATACACTTAATTTCCACAGTCACGCTATAACTTAAACAAACGCTATAATTCACAACGAATGATTCACGCGCTTGACTCAATTGTCCGTCTCTATCTCTGTCTGCAATTCAATTCCATTGTTGCCGTCACTTCTTGGCGGTCTTATATACAAGAATACCGCACATCTAGTAAACACTCGAGCATTCAAGAATCTTCGAGAATATCATGACGTGTTACTAGGGTCACGTGACTTCCGCTGTCGTAACAATATCATAAGACCCTCCGTGCTCAATTGTTGAACCGGAAGTGGGCCTAAAGGGTGATGATACTCTCCACCATAATAAAGTCTTTGACACATAAGAGACGTACTGAATGGAGTGACCTGTACTTTCACCAGATGTCGTATCCTGTAACATGGCTCCACACATTAAAGATGTCCTGTACTTCATGTTTCTATTGATTTTCCATGGCTGTTTTTGGCGACGTCCCGGACTTCATGTGATTTTGTTTGTTTGTAGAACTAAAACTCTCCTATAATTTCAAGTTAAAATTAAAATTAAAAGAGAGTACTTCTATATTTAAAAAGAACAATATAAAAGATAGTCTTTTTGCAACTAATACTAACCAAAGCACGTTTGTTTAACACTAGTCGTTGTCAGGTTGCACATAAAAATATTAATTTTTTATACAATAAAGTCTTGATGACGATTTTTTGATGAATGTTTCTGGGAATATCAAAGACTCTAGTAGTAAGTCAATCTAGAATAATATTTGTATTTACCAGCAGCCAAGTCTCCTGGAGACTAGTAGTAAGACTGTCCAGAGTAATATCAGTTCTTACCAGCTAAGTCTCCTGGAGACTCTAGTGGTAAGACTGTCCAGAGTAATGTCAGTTCTTACCAGCTAAGTCTCCTGGAGACTAGTAGTAAGCCTGTCCAGAGTAATGTCAGTTCTTACCAGCTAAGTTTCCTAGAGACTCTAGTAAGCCTGTCCAGAGTAATATAATTTCTTACCAACTAAGTCTCCTGGAGACTCTAGTAGTAAGACTGTACAGAGTAATGTCAGTTCTTACCAGCTAAGTTTCCTGGAGACTCTAGTGGTAAGACTGTCCAGAGTAATGTCAGTTCTTACCAGCTAAGTCTCTTGGAGACTCTAGTAGTAAGCCTGTCCAGAGTAATTAAGAACTGACCCAGCTGAGTTTCCTAGAGACTCTAGTAGTAAGTCTGTCCAGGGTAATATAATTTCTTACCACTAATATTCTCACACAATATGAAGTGTAGGAACTCGTGTACCAAGAAATGTAAGATGATCCGTGTATGAAATGTTAACTACAAAATAAAAAATGTCAGCTGATTACATGATTCTGTCGAGAAGTGTGTGAGTTCTTCTCACATAAAGCAAATATTTCACAGAGGGCGCTACTTTTGTATCACAACTATTTATGTTTTTATTATTTATTTTCAATATGGATTTCCAGCCAGTATATTTGTCTATACTTTTGGTCTTGTTCTATAGGGTAAAAAAAAAGTTCTTGAAACATCAACATTAAATTGTTATTCTTATATTTTATAATATAGCTAAAACACCTTTCCTTTTGATCATTCTGTAACCAAGTTTCTGTATCACAAGTTGACAAACATTCTGAATTGTCTGGAGTTCAGAATATGTCAGTTTTTTGGTCCACTCGCGTGCTGTTTTAATGGATTCTCTGTAAGTCAACGGGTATTGGAGACGTCCTTTGTTATCAAAGAACGTGTGATTATTTCCTTTTCTTGTGTGAAGATTAACGTACTTGTTTATTTCTTCGTGCATTGGAAAGTTTAGAAAACGAAGCAACTTTTCCGACCAGGTTTTTGGTTGCATTGCTACGTCTTCATAACGCACTCTCAAGTACTTGACCCCGTACCTGTATTGTATAATATCTCCTATCAACAGGTCATCCTGTAAACTTCGACACAGGAACCGAGGATCACGACAGTCGGGGGTTATGCACCACCTCTTCTGCTTGCGAGAGGCTATCAGCCCCCTTGGGTCTCTAACTAGGTGAATGACATGTAAATTTGGAACTTTTTTGTCTTTCAAAAGTTCTATCGCGTGTCTCAGTCTTAACCTAACAGTTTTGATTATGAGTAGCCTTGCGTTTCTACAAGCGTTCTCTAACAGGCCTGTCTTCAAACACAACTCTGTTGGGTTTCGTAGGCAGTCCCACGTGTTTCTACGAAAAGCACAGAGAGATTTGGGATATGCGTGACAAGGAGACGATTGGTTTTTGAGCTTGAGTAAAGTATCACTGTTCCATTCCTCTTTCTTAACTAATTGGAAATATTGGGGGGCGTTTGTATAATCACAGAGTAGTAGGTGTTTTAAGACTTGTACTGCCTCCAGTGCTTGACTAGAATCAACGTGTCCAAGAAGGTTGAGGTACATAAATGGTTCAAACCTATAGAATGTGTCTGGATAATAGCTGAGCATCTCACCAAGAAACGTTGACCCACTTCTCCAATATGTCAACAGCAAAACCCTGGGATTTTCATGGAAGAACTAAAAGAAATGAACAATTTATAAGTAAGTATACTAGAGGTAACGTACGAAAAGTCCACTTTTTAACGTTATTAAATATGTTATCAAATAACGTAGTAGTGATTTTATTATTAAATTGTATTATCTACATGTTTCATATGCCCAGTTTAATTACACTCATAGACAAACTTTTAGATATCAGCTCATTTAATTATTACAAAAAATAAGTAAAAGGATTGTTTATTAGTAACGTTAACTAGGACCATATGTTTGTTCGTACTATTAGTTGGGATGATATGTTTGTTTGTAGCGTTAACTAGGGTTTGAATCACACTTAAACAGGCCCACCGCAATTCCTTTACATTTAAACATCACCAACTGTTATACAAAACATTTTTAAAGCTGTAAATCTTCTACTTTGAAGAAAACCTTTCCTTCCAAGTTACTGAATAGCTAAGATAATGGGACTATGGTATATAACAGCGGGTTATGAACGCATGTTTTAGAACATTAGTAACATTTGTTTTCAAAGCAGTGACGTAAAAATCCTAAACAGGCATAACAATTAGATTTTTTAGGCTTAACAAAATAGATAAAGTAATGCCTAACTACAAATGTTTTTAACCTCTTAATTAGCTTATGATAGATTCTGAGAACGAACTGTACTCTCATCCCAGAGAAGCTCTGATATTAACCAAAAATAAGAAGTATTTAAATATATTAAAAACAGGACCTCGATTTCCTTCCAATGTGTATGTATTAGGACAAATATTAGGGAAACTCTCGATCAAAAAATACAACATTACATGCTGTATCAAGATAGGATATTTTTTACAGTTAAAGATCTCTTCCCTGGTGTATTGAAAGTAGCTAGTTCTTCTCCAAAATACTGAATAGAATGGAGTATACCTCTTCTCCGCGATACTGAATGGAGTATACCTCTTCTCCGAGATACTGAATGGAGTATGCCTCTTCTCCGAGATACTGAATA